GTGTGTGTGTGTGTGTGTGTGTGTGTGTGTTGTTATGTGTACTTGTACTTTTATAGAAAGATTTATTTATATATATATACATATATATTATTCTACATAGAATTACAAGCAATGAACGATCAAGGTATTTACAGTCCACGCAGTGGATCTCAAGGGACAGCAAGTGTTAGTTCACCTGTGTCTGTTACATCATTACAGGATAATGAATTAAATGACATAACAGGTATAATATTTTTTATGATATATAATTTTATTTTTATATTAAGATATATTATGTTTGTTTAAGTTATTGGACATCCATATATAACAGTCTTGGAACAACCTACAGAAAAATTTAGATTTCGGTACAAATCTGAAATGGTAGGAACACATGGAAGCTTAGTAGGAACAAATCGTAAGAATGTACCGACAGTACAAGTATGTATCTATAATGCTGTTTTAAAAATTTGATATTGATAAAAGATATTATATATCTTTTATCGATAAAAATATGATTTTAGGTTATTTAAGTAATAAGTAAATAATATTAATCTAATCTAATATTTTATTTAGTTACATAATTTTCTGGACTCTGCAGTAATACGATGTACAGTAGTTACATCTGATGAAGAACTTCCCAGAATTCCTCATGCTCATAAATTAATCCGTAGAGATGGTGGTCAAGATTATGATGATCCACATTATATTACAGTGTCTTCTGAAACTGGATATATTGCAATGTATGTTATCTAACATCTTATATTTGTTATATTTGTTAGTTTTATAAAATTATATTCATTAATATTATTACTATTTTCTACTATTCATCATTAATATTATGTGATGTTCAGATTTCATGGAATGGCAATTATACACACTGCAAAAAGGTATATTAAAGATGAGCTTATAAAAAAGATGAGACTAGAAGCTTTAGAGAAAAAAAAAAATACAAATATAGAGGCAGTTCTTAATGCTAGAGAAGAAGCACAAGTATGTTAGTTTAATATTTTATTATTTATATAAACTGTATTATAGATGCTATTGATACTAGTTAACACATAAAATTTTAAAAGTATAGATTAAGTACAATTAAATATAATAAAGTCTTCTATATTTTCTTTTAATTAAGTGAACATTTTATTTTGAAGATTAAAATTGATGCTGAACACTATCAAAAATATATGAATTTAAATAGTGTTGCACTGTGTTTTCAAGCATTTGTTACAAATCGTAGTGGAGTAATGATACCAATAACAGAACCTGTATACTCACATGCTATTAATAATCTTAGTAAGTGAAAAATAATAATGTATTGAAATATACATTTTATATAAGGGAAATAATTGTAAAAATATTTATAATGTAACAGAAAGTGCATTAACTGGCGAGCTTAAAATATGCAGAATGGATAAATTCACTAGTAGTGTTGAAGGAGGAGAAGAAATATTTATATTTGTAGAGAAAGTAGGAAAAAGTAATTATTATTAAACTAATATAAAAATTATTAAATTAATATAAAAAATCGAATTCAAATACTTCTAATACTTCTAATATTTTTCATTGCAGAAAATATTAAGATAAAATTTTTTGAATTAAATGATAATGGTTCTGAAATTTGGAGTGCATATGGACGTTTTTCAGAATTGGATGTACATCATCAATATGCCATTGTATTCCGGTATAGTAGTATTAAAACAGACTATCTTAATATCTTTTAATCATTAATTTTTATATTTGATAATATTAGTACAATAGTACAATATTAGTACAAGATATTAAAATAATCTATTTTTAATAGAAAACTTTATATTTACATTTTATATCATGAAAATTTTAACTAATACTAAAGTATATGATAGTTTTTATATATTTATATACATATTTTTTTATAGAACTCCAGCATACAAAGATCAAAATATTACTTTACCGAAAACCGTTTTTATACAGTTAGAACGACCATCTGATGGAGATTGCTCTGATGCAAGAAAGTTTACTTATAAACCAAGTGATAAAATTATAGGTAATATATATATATATATAAATATTAAGAAATGTGTAAATATTTGAAATTATGGATTTGTGTTAAGTCAGAATGCTGAAGATTTAAAAATATATTATATTATAAAATATATTTATAAATATGTCAAATTTGTATAGTTAAATTTGGATCGGGTAATGATCGAATCAGATTACAAGTAACTGAACATATGAAATTACAAACTTGCAAAATCTTGACGTGATTCGATCTAATTTGACTGCAGACTGAAACATCTTTACATTCCTAATATATATATATATATATATATAATAAATGTTTAGGTAGAAAACGTCAACGAATATCTCATTCTGGGAGTTCGGAATTATCATATATATTACCAAATACCAATTCCAACGAGGATATATCAGAACTCTTAAGTAATAGTAACAGCCAAGAAATAAAAAAAATATTATCTGAAGGTACTACAACGCCAGTATGCAAAGATTTCCTCAATGATATGGATATTGATAGTAAGTACGCAATATTTCTTATATAGCTTCGGAAGTGTATTTATTGTGCTGGCAAAGATACTCACGGTCTCAAAGCGGATGCTCTTAACACCTTATTTCGCATGTGCAAAATAATTTTTGTCACACAATTTTTTTTCTTCTTGATTGAATTTATTGTAAAATTTTAATTGCATCTTTTTATAGATTATTTAAAATTATGGTTAAATAGTGAAGAGAATATGCTAAGCACTGATGGCCCATCAATTGTACAAGTATATATTTCTTTCATTTTCATTTTATATTAATTAATTTATCTGGAAAATGTTTTTAATTAATATAAATATTTCTTTTATTAGTACCAAGATGATGTAATGTTTGCCAAAAATATACTTACTGAAATTATGCAATGTATAAAAATGGATGCGAAAAATATGGAGGAATATATTCAGAAATTACTTAAAGATCGATCGACATATGGGGATTCCCCATTACATTCAGCACTTCGATATGGTCAACGTAATATTGTCAAATATTTTTTAATGTTATTATGTACTAATAAGGATTGTAAGACGCTGATTAATAGTCAAAATAGTTCTGGAAAAGTAAATATATTTTTTGAAATATCTTTGCATTTATTTTAAATTGATTCACTATAAATTAGAATATTCAAGAAATTTAATGTAATATAATTTGGATATAATATTTTGTTTAGACTCCACTGCATTATGCCGTTTTACAAAATCAACCTGAAATTACAAAAACATTACTTATGCTTGGAGCTGATCCAAATCGAACAGATGATCACGGATTTTCTCCACTACATGTAGCAGTAAAAAGTAAGTTAAAATGGAAGTGGAAATTAAATAGATTTTAATAGACTAACTAAAATAATTTCTATCTTTTAATATTATCTTTATTGATCTGTTAAAGTAGAACTAATATCTAAAAAAGTCTAAGAAAAGAGATCTTTAAAAAAGTGTTGAAATACCTACAAATTATTTTAATATAACTATATATTTCAGTACCTGATGCTGGTGCATGTGTTGACGTATTATTAGCTGAAAAAGAAATAGATATTGAAGCATATAATGATGCTGGATGGACGGCATTGCATCTTGCAACCAAAGCAGGATCCTATGATGCAGTATGTTCACTTGTCCATGCTGGTGCAAATATAAATAATACTGATATGTCTTATGGTCGAACAGCATTGCATATAGCTGTTGAAGGTGGACATAAGAAGATAGTTGAATATTTACTTAAAAAGGTGTGCTACTTATACTACTAGATATAATACTAGATATAATTACATAATCAGGATTTATATATTTTTGATTTAATTTTATTATTACAGACAAATATATCCGTAAATAAAAGAAATTTTAGTGGAAACACTGCTTTACATACTGCAGTTGTACATACAGGGACACGAGCGAAAGAGCTATGTGCATTATTAATACAACATGGTGCAGATCCACATATTCAAAATCATAATCGGGAGTCAAATGATGTAAATTACTTCTTTTAAAATAATTTATTGTCCAATTTTTTATGCTTCGAACATAATATGTTATAATATTTCTTATTTAATTTTTTCATTAGGTGAATAAAAAGAAGGAATTACATATCAATGTAAAAGTCGAAGTGCAGTCAGAAGATGAAAATATAGAAGGAATGATTGGACAGTCATCATTTGATTTAGCTATGAATAAACCAGACGTAATTATTATTTTATTTAGATATGTATGAAAATATTAATTTGAAGAATAAGTATTAGTTACAATAAATTTTTTACAGATTTTACAAGTTTTTAATGATCAATCTGAGAAAACCACAAATAAAATGTGTTCAGTTACTACAAAATTAGAATTAAAAAATGAAGATTTACAAACAAATTGGTTAAACAATGAGCACAAAGAAAAATTATCTACCTTTTTAGATAAAACACAAGGATGGCAAAAACTTGCAAAACATTTAAATATTGAGTACTTATTACAAACATTTCAACATAATTCAATAAGTCCTTCATTGGGCCTTCTAAATTACATCGATGTAAGTTATATATTTTACTATTATGAGATTATTGAAATTTTATTATTAATATTTTTAATGATAAAAAAACTTTTCCTAGGTGGAGGCAACCCTATCTCTTATGGATATGCAAACAGTATTGAGAGAAATTGGAGAGGAAGAAGCAGCAGATTACATAAATGAAATTTCATCTATTTGTTCATAAAATATATTTATTTCTAAATACATTTTTCAATATTCTAAATTAGAACTAGTACCTTTACCTGGATACTCACGAGATATCCAGGGTAGAGTAAAAATTACTCGGATGAAATATCCGGATGTCTTACAGGTAATTCAGATACCTAGTATAAGTACCTTATACTAAGTAACAGTTTTATTTTAAATAGATTTTGAATATATTTCATCAAAAATTGCGTTGGTATATATGTACTTGATAAATTTTAAAATTTTCGATTTTTCAAACACAAAGTATCTTACAAAAAGTTTTTATTCTACACATAAGGAATCATGTACCTTTTACATATTATTCGTATATTTTACATAATATTTTGTATATAATTTGTGATAATGCATTATAATGATTTGTACATATAATATTAAAATCATATAAAATATGTAAATATATTTTTTAATTTAATGATATATAATTAAATTCACTTAAATATAATGAGTTTTTAATACAAATATGAAGTATTTAAAAATTTATGTTTTATTATAAGATTTATATCGAATTTTTCTGTATTAAAATAATTTTTTTTCTGTAATAAAAAGTTATAATTTATGATTTATTTTCTTTGGAGCACAATACAGATAATGTTGATAAACATAATTAAACATTAATGTATTTTTTTATCGCACATTCCAACCTATAAAATAATTGATTATATAGTTCAAAAATTCAGTTTTATTGATTAAAATTTATTATGTTGCATCACTGAATTTTTGAAGATATCTTGTTTGCTTATATATTTATGTTCAAGGTAGAACAGTCTTTTTTTTTGTTTTTTAAATAAAATATGTAATAGTATATATTCAATTGTGAAACTCGCACAAAACAGCTGTTACGTTCATTCCTGTACGAAAAAATTTCTTGACACTTCCACGACTGTATTATATTATTTGTTTTTTAATTTTAAGTATTAATACTATTTATGTCATAATTATCAAACCTAAATGTTGAAATGAATCATACATTTACGAGAAACGAATCGTTCTTAGTTTTATGAGAAGATATCGTGTTGATTTAGAATAATACTAAGTATAAAATACTATCTTTCTTTAAATAATAATTTAAAACAGAAAATGGATAAGTTGAGGAGAGCTTTAAGTGGCAATGAGCAATGTGATGAAGAAAGTGGTATTATTACTCAGGTAATTAATATCATACAATTTTTAATATACACATAATCTTATTTTATTCATGCGAAATTATTATTTTAAATGCATACAATTTTTAATGGAAGACTGATGTGGATTTTATGGTAAGCTTATACATTAAAAAAGGATATGCTATTACATATATTTTTCAATAACTATATATATCAACAATTGAAGAAATTTTTAATATAAGATAAAGTGTATGAATTTTTATTTTTAGGTTATGGATCAAACTACATTAAGTTGGTCTACTCGAATAAAAGGTTTTGCTATTTGTTTTATTGTTGGTATTCTCTGCTCTTTCCTTGGATCCTTTGCTTTATTTTTACACAAAGGACTTACAGTATTTGCCGTATTTTATACATTAGGCAATATCATCTCATTAGCAAGGTAGAATAATATATTGAAATTCAATATCATATATATAATTCAATATAAGTAGGTATTTATGTCAACATATATTTTCTTTTTTAAAAGAAATCTATTCATCTGCTTCTTCACAAGAGTATCATAAAAATAAATAATTCAGTAAATTTATTAATAAAGTATAACAAGAATTGTAAAGATTATTTTAACATAGACTTAATGTAATCATTTTCCCAATAATCCTTTATTTTATTATACTTGTATATAATATTTTTGTTTATGAAATTCATAATTGAGTACGATCATATGTTTTTGTTAAAAGCAAAATATTTATTTTATTCATAGCACATGCTTTCTAATGGGTCCATTCAATCAGTTTAAGAAGATGTTTGCACCAACAAGAGTGATTGCAACTGTTTTAGTATTTATAACAATTGCAATGACATTATTTGCAGCGTTACATGTAAGTAATATTGTAAAATTTTTAATATGTGACTATTATTTCAATGGCATTACATTCAGTTCAATTAACATGCATATTTTTAGCTGAAGAATGCTGGATTGGCTCTTATATTTATAATTATTCAATCATTGGCAATGACTTGGTATTCTTTATCTTATATTCCTTATGCACGTGATGCTGTTAAAAAAACACTAGAATCATGTATCACATAAAGAATCGTACAAAGGATATAATAAAATCTGTAACTTAATTAAATAAAACTTGTATACTGTTATTTTATGTTACACAAGTTATGAACTGAATAATAATACTTAAAACAATGTAATATTAATCAAATAGAAATTAACAGTTATAATATGTATATCAAATATTTTTGCGTATAATGTAATATTTTATAATATTATTGTAAGTAGAGGAATGTACTAAGTTTATACAAAATATGTAATATTCTTATATTATCTTTTTTATAACGTTATAATTATGTAATCTTTGTACAGTATTAATAATTTTATATATTAAATAGAAATAAAATTATTTAATATGAATTTTTATCTTGTATTTATATGTTGTACATTTACATTTTGTATAATGTGATGTTGAATCATTACATATAACTTTTAAAAATTTGTTTTCTAATTTAAATAACAAATATTAAAAAGCAATAAAAAACAGATTGTTACAATACTAGTAAAATATTTCGTTATGATTATTTACTTTGTTGAGTAAGATTTATATTTCAATGTTTTGAAAATATTATAATAAGTAACACTTAAAGATTATTTAAATAGATTATTTTAGAAATTAATATAAGTTTAATATTAGATTAATTAATATAAAATTCATGAACGTAAATGGTATTTCGATTAGTTCACTTTAATTTAAAAATTGGACGTTAAATATTGACTAACCAATCACGTATTGCCATAATTGCAACGACCAATCATAATTCAATATGTTATTTCGTCATATATGTATGGAAGTTCTAGTTGGATGATGATATAAACAATAATTTCTGTACGTTCTTCGATCAACAGCAACAGGTTCTAAGTACAAAGAGACTTCTTCAGCAGCAGCCATTGTATCTTTAACGCGCGGGTCGCGATCGGTTCGTGTAATATTCGATAAACCATCTTTTGTTCTGCATATTTTAATATTTATTGACATACTTACAGTAAGTAAAATTTTATGATTTTGTGTATACTTACAATTATATGCTAAATGGATATCATGTAAAATAGAGAGAAATTGAAAAAAAAATACTAAATAACCGTTAGAAAATGTAAATTTGAAATATTTTATATTTTTATGTGAATTGTGTAATATAACATCATGTTCGTATTATACTAGCTCTTATAGTAGTTCGTATTATACTAGCCATTTATATTAGCTATCTGTCAAGATATAATCATTGCATGTAATTATGCTGAAATCATTACGTATTTAATTAATAGCTAGAAAAGAATAAATTTCTTGTATTCTTTTCGTTATATTATTGTGTAATTTTACTGGAACTTATTGAGTTTATTTTGTAATTGAATATATTAGTGAATTATATTACTTGTATTTTTTAAGATACAAAAATGCCTGCACCAGAACCTGCCGATTGCCATAATCGCAAAGCCAGCTTTAAATTCAATTATAAACATGAAGTAAGTTAATCGTATAAATTATTTTTACTTATAAATCTATTTTTAGATTAACTATTTTATTTGTTTTATTTATAGATGATTTATAAAATTTGTTAAATATTATATTGTTTTCTAATGATAAACTAAATTTTATACAAATTATTGTAGGAAGCACGTAGAAGGAGAAGTGAAATCTCTGTGGAGTTACGTAAAGCTAGGAAGGATGAACAATTACAAAAACGACGGAATTTGAATATAGGCAAAGAATCACGAAATTCTGCAAGTGAAAGTAATCATTCGTCTCTTTCTACATCTATAGATGAAATTGTAAATAGCATGAAATCTCCGGATGAAACAATTCAACTTCAAGCGACGCAAGCATGTAGAAAAATGTTAAGCCGTGAAAAGAATCCTCCTATAGATAGTATGATTCAACGTGGAATTGTTCCACTATGTGTTGAATTTTTGGATTATCATCACAAGTATGTGGCAATTTTGATAATGATAATTTTGTTCCAAATATTAATTATCATGAAGTATTATTGAACGATTATATCAAATATTTTTAGCGCTGCATTACAATTTGAGGCAGCATGGGCTCTAACAAATGTAGCATCTGGTACATCAGAACAAACTCACGTTGTTGTTAAACATGGTGCTATACAAAAATTGGTTGCATTACTTAAATCTGCATCACCCAATGTTGCTGAACAAGCTGTATGGGCACTTGGAAACATTGCTGGAGATGGACCAGTAGCTCGGGATCTTGTTCTCGCATATGATGCTATGCCACTTTTACTAGAATTAATTAAACCTGACACTTCTGTATGTACAATATATATATTTATTTTAATGAGGGTATAATATATTATTATTATTATAAGTAACATTAAATGTTTACTAGGTAACATTTACACGTAACATTGTTTGGACTCTGTCAAATTTGTGTCGTAATAAAAATCCTCCTCCTCCATTCAACGTTGTAAGAACTGCTCTTCCAGTATTAAATCGTTTACTTAGTAATAATGATAAGGATATACTTGGTAAATTGATCATACTTCTTTTAAAACTTGTTGCATATCTAATTATAATATAAATCTTTTAATTACAAACAAATTTTTCATTACAGCTGATGCTTGCTGGGCTCTTTCATATCTTACTGATGGTTCTAACGACAAAATACAAGCAGTCGTTGAATGTGGAGTTATTCCGAAACTCGTACAATTACTTAATTCAACTGAAGTGACCGTTTTAACGCCAGCGCTTCGAGCTGTGGGAAATATAGTTACAGGAAATGATACGCAAACGGATGCAATAATATCGGCAGGCGGTTTGCAATATTTGGGATTATTATTACAACATCATCGTGTCAACATTGTTAAAGAGGCAGCATGGACTATTAGTAATATCACTGCTGGAACCATGGAACAAATTCAACATGTTATAAATGCTGGATTATTACCACCTCTGATACACGTTCTAGAGTGTGTAAGTAAATTGTTTTGTACTAACTATTCAATTATTAGAAATAAAGCATCATGAAATTTATCTTTTAGGGAGATTTTAAATCTCAAAAAGAGGCAGCATGGGCAGTAACAAATTTAACTACAAGTGGATCAATACAACAATTAGCTCACCTAGTAGAATTAGGAGTACTTGCACCATTCTGTAATCTTCTGGAAGCTAAAGATTGGAAAACAATAATTGTTGTTCTTGACGGTTTAACTAATATTTGTAACGCAGCAGATAGAATGGGAGAGGTTGAACGAGTAGCTATTATGATAGAAGAAGTTGGTGGTTTGGATAAATTGGAAAATTTACAACATCATGATGTGGAACAAGTGTATCAAAAAGCTACTGCAATGATAGATACCTTCTTCTCAGAGCCGGTAAAAAAATATATAACAATTTTTGATTATTAATAATTTAATCAAATATATAACAATGTTTGATTATTAATAATTTTATTTGAATGTTATGTACAAAATTTTTTTCTAGGATACACAGGAACCAATATTGACAACATCTGCAGCTGATACTCAGTTGGAGTTTAAACCAAGTGAGACAGCACAAAAGGGTTTCAATTTTTAAAATTCCTTAATCAGTTTTATGCCATTTAATACGTTAGTGTGTGTTTCAGTTCATTTTGTAAATAGGTTTACATTTTTTCGTCGTTGCAAATGAATATTAAAGATAAATTTTTTGCCTCTTTCATAATGCTTTATTGATATTTTGTGTGTTCCACGATATCAATTTCCAGTTAATATTCCTTTCTATACATAGCTTTCAAGCTATTTGTTTACTTTTCTTTTTATTAAAATTTTCTTTATTAGCCCTGATACTAATTTCAAAACCTTTTTGTGTAACAAATATATATTTTGCAATATTTTAACAACTATTTTTAAAATTATTTTAATATTTTGTATTTTCTTTTCAAATTTATAACACATCTTGAAACATTTATTTAATCACTGTGAAAATTTTATATAGCAAATGTTTTTATATAGCAAGTGTTTTTATTATGTATGTAACTGATGTGCTTTTTTAAATTATATGTCTATAAAATACTAGAAATTAGCTTACTTATATACATTGCAATTTATATGTATTTTTTAATAAACGTTTAATACAAAAGTTAACACGTATTGATAGTAATAGTTCTGAATAATTTTATATAATACAATACAGTCATAAGCATTAAATAAAAATGAGTTTTTCAATTAACAACTATGTATTTAGAATGTCGTAGTTGTAAATACTTAATAATAATTACAAGCTAATATAAAATTAACTTAAGCAAATACAATTTCTTACTATATATAAATCTATATAATACATTTAACCATTTTAGGCTACAAAGACTAGATGGAATTATAATATAAATTTTTTACTTATTACTTAATTAGGAGTATTTTATGTAAGCACAAAATGTATTCAAGACGTTCTTGGACTGGCAAGTTATTTACGTGCATTGTTTCATTGTAAAAATTTTGTTCGCATAATTGTTAAGTACTATTATAGAAATAATGTGACAAAATATTTATTTAATATACTGCTACTTATATGATTATTTTCTCCTAAACAAAATGTTTTATTTCTTTTTCAGCTGAATTTAAAGTGCATTTAATAAATACTTGTTTTTAAGTTTTAAATATTACTATCGACCAAGAATAAAATCACTTTGATCATTTACTAAGAAATGGTAAACAAATGCAGCTTTTTTTCGATCAATTGTTGCTTGAACGATCTGAGTACGACTTCTTTGATTTCTATCGCCTCTACTTCTTGGTGGATCTCTTAAGAAAATTGATCCAAATATTGTTGCTATAAGATAATTAGATAAAAAATAAGTTTATTAATTACAGTAATAAATAAACTAAGTAGAGCCTTACCGAGAGTTTTAGCATCCAATTCATTATCTTGAGTATGATTTAATAACTCTTGCAAAAAGTAACAAATATAAACAAAAACTGTTCTTCTTATTTCTGGAAGTTGCATTACAATCTATACAACAAAATATTTTTAATATTAAAAAATATACGTATAATATTACTTTTGTTTAAATATTTTTAGATTTACACACCTGTTTGCACTGTAAATAATTTGTTGCTGCGGATAAGCATACACTATGCAAATTATACGGGATTAGAGGTTCTGTTGTAGATTCTAAAAGTAAAAGTAATGCTTCTGCAACCGAATGTACGCTACCAGCTTTGACGGAGTTAAGGAATCAAAATAATTTATAATAATGTATAAAATTTTAAGTTTTTTTAAAGTTCAAATTAAATTTTTTAGTTAAATTTAGGATACGCATTGGATCTTGGCTCCAATTGTCTAACCAATCTCTTATAGCTATAATTTCACTAGGAAGTCCAGGTGTTTCAAAAAGCCCTGTCGTTTTTATGCCATGTCGATACAATCTATCAACTAATAGCCATATTTCTTTAGGTATAGCATATGGTTCTTGAGAAAGATTTTTATTATTTTCCTAAAATTTGATGAAATAAAATAATATTAACTTAAATGATTTTTTAAAGATCTTTTTATGTGTAGGATATTTCATTTAAATCATTTCATTCAAATATCTTGGAAATTGTTGATGATATTAAAAAAAAACTTTGAATTAAAACTGGATTGTGAATATAAATTTTTCTCAAATGGAAACACAAATAATTTTGTTTTTCTAAACGATGTTAAGAATATGCTTACAAGTTCCATTAGTCTACCAATAGGAATTTCTCTAATTGGTACTGGAATGTGAACTAAAGCTTCCATTGAAGATCCGAAACAGCTTCTTTCATAAGTACCTAAGAAAATTATATAATTTGTTTTTCTTGTTTTGTAAAAATAATGTAGTGGCGAATAAAAGTATTGCTACCTGTAACAGTTATAAATATATCCTTTCCTCCTTCTAGATGTAAAATTAAAATGTCATATAACTTATCTTCTCCGGAATTCAATTTACATGCCGATTTTTTGTCAACATATATTTCAAATCTAGTATCACATTTCTCTCCTAAATGTAATATACAAATAAGATTATAAAAGATCCAATTAGGTTAAAAAAAAAAAAGAAAAAAGTCATACCTGGTTTTATGAAGCCTTTAAACGGTTCTATATCCAACCAATCTTTACAATAACTAGCGTCGCCTAACTTTTTTATAAATTCAAATTGAACTGGTACCTATGAACAGCATAATTATTTACATATGAACAAATATATATGTTTTAAATATTTATTTACCTGGCCAGTATTGGCAATAATAAGTTCTTTGCTACTGGGTTCAAGAAATTTCAAAGTATCAAATATGATTTCTGTTGTATCAACCATCACTTGCGGTAAAAATTCGTTTTCTAATTTATCAAGTTTTTTCATAACTTCTTCATGAATTTTACGATACTTTGTCATATCTATGATCCTGACCTATAAAATATTAGATACAAAAATATAAAATAACATATAATTTTTGTACTATTAAAAAAATATTTACATTTACCTGAGAATCAAAAATTGCACTAACGGGTTTATGATCCGAAATTTTTAATTCAGAATGGCTTCTGTAATCTATAGACGTAATTGCTTCTCCTTTCCATAGTATACGATCACACCATGCTGGAGCTCTGCCTTTTTCACTAGAATTAAACATATTTATGCTTACTAAAAAGTATAGTAAAAAGAGAAAAATTCCAAATATAATTGTGTAAACCTTGAATCCCAATTATCAGTGCCTGGATCATATTTATATGTTGGTTTAAATGTAATTTCTGCTTCTTGAAATCCTTGTAAAACACGGCCTAATTGTCGTTGTTGGCCTAATTGATCTAAAGCTAAGAGAGGAGCATAATTTTCTGCCTCTATATGTTGTTTAGCAACTAGAACATCCATTTCTGTTATTCGATAATTCAAATCTCCTAACCAATAAATCTGGCTATATTAAAAATTTTTATATTTTTAAACATATTTCTGTTGATATATACTCTGAAACAATATTTGAAAAGAACTTACTCATGATCCTTAAAACTTTTAGGCGGAACATATTTTGCGAAAGATAATCGCGCACATATATCTGCATAATCTTGGTTTCGTCTTTCGTATTCTTCACAATGTGCTGCTAAATGAGCATTAACAAAACAAATAGATGTATTGTGAATAGAACAGCTTACTGCTACTCCTCCTTTGTTGCCCTGATAAGATTGAAATGTTACAATGCTGATTTTTAATTATTTACAAGATATAATAAATATATTACCATTTTGCCCATGATACCAGTACCTACTGTATCAACTGATACATCTTTTATGTATGGTACGTGACTATGTAAAGCATATATAAGTAACATCATACCAACTAATCTCACAATAGCTACTTGATCATATACACCATCTGGATGAAGAGATTTTGCTACAACTTGTCTATAAACATGTTAATAACACAAATAACAATAATAATCAGATATTGTTCAATAATATTTTTGTATAATTATAAAATCATAAATATTCTCTTATAAATCTTATACCTCCATTCTTCTTCTCTTGGAGTATCATTGAAAAGAAATGCTTCTTTAGTTAAATCTAATTCTTGAAATCCAATTGCATATACATCAGGAGGTGTTTTATCATAACTCAACCATTCATGCAAATTAATACCATTTGGTGGTTGGCCATTTACGTTCCATGTGCCAATAAATATACTGCAATAAATTCATTACAAACTAGTAAATAAAAATACATTCTATCTAGTATATAAAAAATATAAAACAAACCGAAAGATTTTGCTGTATGTATAATCATCTTCTTTGCATGCCATTTGATATCTTACTGCTGACTCTCTGGCAGCTACTGGTGATTTGCCAGAAGCAATACTGCGTCTTGTTACAACTAAAACTGGACTTTCTAAATCTACCAACTATAAGAAAATATTAAAAAATTTTCACTATTGATCTCTAATTAAATTTATTAATTTACTAATTAAACTAAATTTTTAATTTACTAACTGGATCAGTATTATCTTGTATTTCTTCATTGATATTAGAACTCAAGTTACGTGTATTTCCTGTTAATTTTTGAACCCATAAAAATTCTGATGCTGAATTCTTAGTTTTTTGGTATACTATAATGATTAGAAAACATATCTTTACTAGCAATAGAAATATATTATTGATAATATAGAATTAAACAATCAATAATGCATGCTTACTTTCTATAGCTCTAAATACTTCAGATACCAAGGAACTGGTTGCTACACCAGGCTTCATTTCAAATACTAAATGTAACTTTCTTGATGTAACATTGAGATAAACATCTAAACCATCTTGTTGCTTTTCATCAGTATCTAATAAATAATATTCGATAGATTACAGATAAAAGTATTATGCTATTGTAATGGTAATTGATAATTTAGAGTTACATATATGAATGATTATTAAACATATAAATAATTAAAATTACATACTTATATTACATTTGAAGTCTTGATCAATAGGCAATACTCTTTCTATTGTAAGATCACTATAAACTTGAGGAGGCGTTCTTGAAGTAATTAAAATAACCAATGCATGAGTAGTTCCTTTGTTAAGAAGTGCTATAATTCGTGCAGCTTTAACCCAACTTTGTATCAATGATGCTTCCATTGCCTTCGCAAATAATTAAGGTTTTATAGACATTAGTTTATAAATGTTTTTTAAAAACACAAGAAACAATAATTTTGCTTTTTAATAAAAGGATACAATTATTACAGTCTCTCCTGAGACAAATTTTGATTGTACAATCATTGATTGTTCTGATGATGACATATTTATCAATAAAATATTATTTGTTTTCCCAAGAGAGTTAATAGAAAATCCTTGTACAATGGATAAGTGTTCTTCATATAAATAAGAAATATTAATAAAAATTATAACTTAATTCTTATAGATTTGTTCGTTATTACGTTCAATAAGAATAATTTACAATTTGTTTATGCTAACGATAATGAAGCGAAGTCAATAATAATAATTAATAATACAATTTTTATGAAAATGATTATTTTTTGTCAAGTAGTTTTCATCATAAAACATTATTTTTCTTTGACTTAAACATTACCTTACTTTATTTATATTATAACTCAGTTATCCCTGCATTTTCTTCATATAGACTATTATATCTTTCTAAAATATATTCCAGTACTATTATTAAATAATTGATATTATATAGTTTAATTTATCACTGAACAAATAGGAGTGATAAAGTATAATAATTGACATTAAACATGATTGAATCTTTTTTCTTTCTTTCGTATGTGTCAAAGAAATGAGTAGTATATCTATATGTCAACTTACAAAGTTAGATTTTATATATGTGTATGTTGCATATATATATTCGTTAATGAAAATGTGTATACAGAAATGGAGTGTTTTCATGAGATGAGAAAGATAAGAAAACTTTCTATTAAATTGGTTAAATCCCCTTGTCTTATAAAATAAGATTTTATTAAAACATCATCTTATGTACATACGTATATGTGCTTATTATATTTGTATATTTGCTAGTATATAATCCTTTTCAAGTAAAAGAAATATGTGTTGTTTCATATTACGCTATTTTTCATAAAACAGAAATAGAAACTTTCATCAATCAAATGTGAAATGCAATATTAGGCGCGCAAATGTAATTTCCCTAGTAAGCAGGAAGTACCTACATTATAAATTGAAAAATATGCTGACTTCCTGAAGCGCTGTAAGTAAATCTTCCTTTTCTAACGTATCCATTGACCATGCCGTTTACTGCAATGGCGGTATAGATATTTCACGAAGAAGAAAGTGGATTTTCTGTAATGTAAGTGAATATTGTTCTTGTTTTTCCATTGTACACTCATATTGAATATAAAATTGTACGATTTTCTACGTGAACTTATGTAAAATTCATATTATTACAACGTTACAGGATGATTACGATTTGAGTGGGCAAGGTCTAGTTGTACTTTTATAGACTATAGAATTCAGTTTCTTCCATATTGATCAGTGTACTAGCCAATATAACATAATCTTACTTATAAAAAACAAAAAAATCCAGTTATTGATAATAATTGTTCCTCGAGGAGTTTACCGACTTACAAGAATAGGACACCAAAGAATTCGCGGTAATCCTTCCCGACGTCTTAGGTTAGGATGATTTAAGTATTGTTTGGTGATCTTATGTACTATAATATAATAAGCAAAATTTTAGTTTGATAAATAGTATTTATAATTTTATGTATCTTCTTATGCATTTAATTATGGTTAATTTTATAATAAGTAAAATACAACTAATGCATGTTGTATTAAAAAAAAAAATTAAGAGAAAAACAAAATAACAAGTAAATCTTATAAAATCTTCTGTAAATGTATTTTACAATATGATATTTCATATTAATAGATATTTATATTTTCATACATACTAGATTTGTATTTGTTATCTGTGTAAATTATTAATTTCATAAATTTTTCTTAAGATAAATATAATCTTTTATTTGTTTATAATTTATGAATATAAAAAAATCTTTTTTCAAAAGTATATTTATAGTATAAATGCATTCATATACATATACATATATATGTTATTTATAGTAGAAGAAGATATAATGTTGATTTTTAACAAATGTACATTGATTCTTTCTTTTGTAATAACTATACTTTTAGGTAACACTTGGTATTTTACTATCTGAATGGACAATAAGGTGGATGTCTCAGAAGTAGAAAATATTTCAATGATTGGATCGTCTGAAATTTTTTATCTGCCTGAAGTTGCAGAGATATCAGAGGTGTTAGATTCTACTGGTCTCAGCCCTTTGACATCTTCTTTAGATCATACTCTAACTCTTCAAGAGGATAAACTGCTTTCATCAGAAGTTAATATGGGCATAGAAGATACATGGTACCATTAGTATTATGTGTACAAATTGTTAGTTATATACATATACATATACATCAAATCATGTTAATTTAATTCAACATTCTTGCTGCAGGACTGAAGCAAACAGTTCTACATCAGATTATGCTATTCCACTTCCACCACCACCAGGTTTAAATGATTTCACAGATGTTGGTGCAGATCCTATTGGAGATAGCGGAACTGGTATAGAGTATGGTCCATTTTTACCTCCCGGTACTCCAGCTCTAAATAATTTGTTTTCAGAAGGTGGAGATTCTCAAGATGATTCTCCAATGGGTGTGTACAAATATTTGTATATTCCTGTATTTCTATAATTTAGTTTTATTCTGAATTTATTTTTTTTATTTATTATTATTAAATTTACTAATAAACATATTTTTTAATAAATAATATGTACTTATGTTGCAGAAGATGTAGTTTTACGTGCTGGAGTATGTGGGCTTCGTAATCTTGGTAATACTTGCTTTATGGCTGCTGGTTTGCAATGTTTAACTGCAACACCACCCGTCCTGCGACATTTTTTGGATTTGCAGCAGAGAGGGGAGAAACTACCTCCTCCAGGATCATTGATGGCACATTTTAGCGTACTCCTTGGAAAAATGTGGTCTGGCAAATATAGTGTTCTTAGGCCTACTGAATTTAAACAAACATTAGGAGCGTATCATTCACAATTTAAGGACTATAGACAGGTAGTTATAAAAATATTTTTATAAACTGTGTAATTATTACTGAATAATACTAAATAATTATTATGAATAATATTGTTAATTATCAGCATGATTGTCAAGAATTTCTTGCACTTTTATTGGATTCCTTACACGAACAAATGAATACAGCAAAGTGCACAAAAAATTGTCAAACTCCATCATCTACAACCACTGCCAAATCTATTAATTCAATTGAAAATTCAAACGGGAAAATATCCCCAGTCACTGCCACTAGTAATTCCAATTGTAATTTGTTGGAAATGTATGATTGTTTACCATCACCAGATTGTCCAAATAGTCCTAATGTTACAATGGCAGGCTCACCGAGAGGTAAAAGTATAAATTAATATAAATTAATAATAAATATTATGCATTGCATTCAAATAAAAGTTATAAAAAATAATTCATTATAGATTTAGGTTCGCCAATAGGTGAATTAGATAGTATTGCAAATTCGCCACGAGGATCGCCTTTAAATGATGGTGATGACGACGAAGAAACACTTGATTCTGATGAAACTGTCGAGGCAAAGTCAAATACGTTTATTCACAATGTAGTCGATGAGAAAAAAAATGAAGTTACGCCTTCATTAAGGCTAGAAACATTAATCGAACTTTCGAAAAATGTTCCAAAATATCATGGTCTTTATGATATTCATAAAGAAGCAAAAACTAGCAATGCAAATTTTTTGGTAACACAACAAGAATGCAACAACGAGATTCATTACGATTCTCAAAAATTTCCAAAAGAAAATGTTCGTAGAATGCCTTTAGACAATTCAAATTTAATGGAAAATCATGATTTTGACAATAAAAGTGTCAGTATTAAAAGAATAAAAGAAGTCAATGTTCAAAAAGTCAATTGTGGTGTAGATTATACGTCAAGTGGTTCTGATATGGAGTATGATAATGGCTTAGAGAAATGTAATGTGAAACGCATGAGACTGGATGATCAAGAGAAAAATCATAAACGTGATGGTCAGGGAAGCATTAGCTCTCACTGTACGCGAATGTCACAAAGTTATGGGAATGGTGCTATCGAAGCACAAGATGAACTCGAGGCCGACAAACATTGGGCAAAGCATTTAAAATCTAATAGAAGTATTATTGTTGATACTTTCCAGGGACAGTTTAAAAGCAAGGTAAATTTACTGTATCATACAGTCATACATGATACTTTATATACTATGGAGACTACGTTGGGGTAATTGATACATATAATTGGCTTTTACCGTAACATGTGTCCTATATTAAAGTTCAGCAGTTATACCTTCTTGTTTTGGGAAGCATAAAAAGCAGGTCTCATTTTGCTGATATATACTAATATTTATATTACATAATACACATGTCATTCGTATATAAAATAATTTACATTTTGATACTTTTCTTGGTTCATAGGTTGTTTGTGCAGTATGTAATCATGTTTCTGTTACGTATGAACCTTTCATGTATTTATCAGTACCGCTACCTCATGCGATGGAGAGGCAGTTAAACGTTACGTATGTTCCCGCAAATGGAGATCAACCTATAAGGTGCGTTGTTTCATTAAACAAACAATCGCGCATTGGAAAACTGAAGGAGGAGCTATTGAAAACACTTGGCAAAGAAAATATTGCAGTAGCAAATATTGCACTTGCTGAAGTTTTAGAAAATCATATATCGAAGATACTGGTAAGCACACAGAGTTTATTCGTTTTACTTGCGAGGGATAATTTTCTGTTTATTTAAATGTATGTATGTATATATCAATGTATGATTAGTCAGAGTCTAAAGAAGTCTGTGGATTTATGTAGTAAACATTTGGATTATAAGGTTATTTAAATAATTTTTCAATTTTACTCAACTATTGATTTCAATCTATCTAGTATACTTTTTAAAAATGTTTCAAGTTATTTGTTTTTA